ACCATCTAATTTAAAATGGAATTTGAGAATCTCCTTTACTGCTTTGTTTTTCTTCCTGGCACTTATAGCCTTCAAATATATAAATGTTCTTTTTATTGGCTGTTATCAAGTAGATTTTGAATCATAGCAACACTACACACAACAGAACAAAATACTGCCAGTCTTGTACCATCCTCACAATAATTTCTATACTTGAGCCTAAAGCTGTAGCTACTGTGTCAATTCATCTCATTGAAGGTCTTTCGCCACTTGATCAAGCACAATGTCTTCCTCCAGCCACTGGTCTCTCCTGATAAGAGTGACATCCAAAGTGTGTAAGATAGAGTCTTGTCACCCTCACTTTTAAGAAACATTCTGATTATATTTGTTCCAAGACAGATCTGTTTACTATTGTGGCAGTCCATTGTATATTTAATATTTTCTATCAATGCTGCAATTCAAATGCATCAATTTCTCTCAGGTCTTCCTTATTAATTGTCCAGCTAGTCCTCAAATCACTTCCTAGATCTTTAACACTTTAAGAAGTCTTCTGCAATAGATTACAGTGGTTAAAATAACATGGTGACCACCACCAACATCATGCAGATATTTAAGTGCTAAGAAAAAAAAAACCAAAGTAATAAAGAATATTTCTAGAATTCCATTCTAAATTATATGGCCTTGACAAGGCTTACTGCTTGGTGAATAAAACAGATATTTATAGTAGAGAGTCATGAAAGACTATACTGCAGCTAGGAGACGGTAAGATGCTCTCTGCAACTTGTGGAAAGGTAGCTAGATATATCTACAAAGACACAAAAAAATACTAGAAATGTTTATTTTACACTATATCTTGATTGCTTTGAGTCTTGTTTGTTTGGTTTCTTTGGTTTGTTTAGTAAAATTCAATTTTGCTGAATGTTAGTCCAGATTCCTTAAAATTTGTGATTTTTTAAAATAATTTTTAAATGAAGAGTAGAATTCCTATGATAAATTGAAGTAGGGATGGGAGAAAGCCATAAATTTTACATTTAAGTTCAATAACTGAATGACTCCAGAATACTATAGATAGATTTGGGTTTAGCCAACATGGTTTCAGTCTTAATTTTCTTTATGTGTGTAACTCAGTCATAGTCAAGAAAAAGAATTCCTAAGCCGATCTTATACTCATTATGCATAAAGAATGAAACAAGTTTTTATCACCTAAGTTAACCACAAACTGTTTTAAAAATGAAATTTAAAGAAAACAAAAAAATAGAGTCATAAACCCAAATAACAAAAATACAAACAACATGCAAGAATGTTAAAAAGAATATGGACTATGGTGTAGAAGATAAAAAAATTTAGTTTCCCCCCCCCAAAAAAAATTAGTTCTACTTTGGTTATATCTACCCTACTGTGCTTAAGTGAGGCACTGAAACTTCTCATATGTGAGTTTTAGATTGAAACATACCTAGGTTTCTAGGTTTTCCATCATCTTTTAGTTTTTCAATGTTTTCCAAGCTATAAATGTTAACTTTTAAACAGTCTACTAACCACCTACTGACCTATCCACACAAACACACAGATTGAGGAGATATCGATGAAAGATAGAGTTAAGCTAACTTAAAAGATGATTAGCAAATTGCTTAATCTAAATTGTGAATATATTGGTATTCATTGCATTGTTCTTTGAAGTTTTCTGAAACTTAAAAAAATAATAAAATATTGGAAAAATCTTTTGCAAACAATAATTTTATTTAACCAAACCTAACATTGTCAATAAAATAAAATTGTGTCAGATCTTTCATTATTTACTTATGGTTTACCAAAAGACATAAACTTTTAGGAAGCACATTCTAGATAATTAAAGTGACTTCCAGATTATTTCTATGGGATTATAACATATTTTTTAGCTATGAACCAAATTGGACCTGAATGAAATTCTCCCATTGAATGTTACTGACTATAATTTCAGTGAAGATTGTGCCCTAGTATGTTTGGATTTGATCAAAGTACAGAAGGAGACCATCTGAAAATAACTTTTGGGCACTTTAAGACATAACATCTAATGTTTAGTTTGAGTAAAGAAAAGATAAAAGGAGCTAAGTACAATAAATTAGATTTTTTTAATAAAAAAAATCCAAATAGGTATTACAAAAATCATGTGAACCACCATTCAAAGGAAATAAATAGATTCTAAAAGTATCCAGGGACATAGCTGAGGTTCAACATGTCAGGGCCAATTTTTCCTTAAACACTTTTAGGCAGAAGCCACAATTAAAGACCACTTTTAGTTCTGTCCAAAGCTCTTCCACACACAGAGCTGTGGACACTATAATTCTTACTCACAGTGACTGAAAATAAAGGCTTGGTTAAGTACAAAGGGATGTTTCCTGCCAACTGCAATGAGAGGAGGAAGTGGCAAGGGTGGGTACAGGATGGTCAAAATTTCCCAGTCTTTACTGTGGACAGCAAGATTGCTTAAGGTTCTGAAAAACAATCCCAAATTAGGAATTGTTGAGTGAGATACAAATCTGCAAAATAAATACATGACTGACAATGAATACGAGATCAAAGGCGGATATAATATATTTTCTTGACAATATCATAATAGGATGACCTATTTACTTAAAAAGAAAAAGAAGAGTTCAAATGACCTGTTGATAAGCAGTTGTTCAAGTCCAAAAGCTACTCCACAGGAGAAAAAAGAGCAATCTCCTCCTGTGTGACTACAGACTGAAAATCTACTGGAAAGTCATGTGTAAGTAGATCCCAAATGGGCAGCAAATAACATAACAACATTGAGTTTTAAAAGGATGAAGTTTTTCAGTATAGAGATCTCTATGAGTGATAGGATATTATTGATATGCATATAAAGAAGTCCTGTTAAAACGACTATTGCTCAAAAATATGTACCAGCAGCTAAAGTCAAAGAGGAGGAAATTGTTGAAGGTTTTTATCAAATTTTGCAGTATGAATTGACCAAACATGCAGGCAAGATGTGTTAATGATACCTGCTGTTTGGAATGCAAAAATTGGAAATAATGAAGACGGAGGATAGTTGGAAAATAGGGACATGGTGACAGAAATGAGGCTAGGAACAGAACGATCAAATTTTTTGTTTTTTATTGTTCTGCATACAAAATTTGTATACATTGTGTATCATTCATACATTGCATTTCACACATTTCCAGCATGTTTCAAACACTTACATACATTGTGTTTTATAAAATGAGTCGTCATTGATCTTAATAGGTTATAAACTATTATTCCATTTTATAGGTTACCCATTGGATCTTTCCTCATTCTCCCACGTCCCCCTCTGCCCTCCAAACTCTGATATCCTAATGATTTCTTCTCCCAGACCTTGGACTCCTTCCCTTGCCCTTTGAGCTTTTATATACATCTTATTAATTATCCTTCCATTTTTACAATAGAAGTATTATGCAGTATAAATAGGAATATTCAATATAGTGAAAATGACAATCTTACAAAAAGCCAGTCTACATGTTTAATGCAATACAAATACACATGCCAAATTCATTTTCAGAGAGATAGAAAGTGCAATTGGTAACTTTATTTGGAGAAGAAAGAGAGCCTGGATAAAAGTACTTCTGAAAAATAAAAAATTAAATGGGAGGCATAGAACTTTCTGATCTCAAAACCTACTAAACAGTCATAATATCCAAAAGGACAACTAATAGTAAAATGACAGACACATAGCTCAAAGGAACAGAATTGTGTACCCAGAAATTAACCCACCGGCCCATTTATTGTCAACTGGTATTAGACAAGGAAATCAAACCTATCATTTGGGGAAATGATGAACTCTTCAACAAATGAGGCAGAATTGTGCTGGAAACTGCACTTCTCTTTGCAGAAAGCTAAAGCAAGATCTGCTTCTTATTCATACACAGAAATCAATTCAAGTTGGATCAGAGTCCTGGGCTGAAGACCAACACAATAAAGATCAAAAGAAACAGAGAAGTGTGAACTACAGGGGAGGTGTGGATAGGGAGAAAAGGGCAACAATGAATGAATGGAAACCCAAAGTCTCTGTAAACTTTCATTAAAATTAATAATAATGAAAAAGGAAAAAGAAAAATAAACAAACAAAAAAAGAAACAAGACCATACTTAGAAGCCCTAGGTTATGGTATAAATTGTTGTTGTTAAGTGTTGTCAAGTTGAGCACGACTCATAGTGACAAAAACCCTGAACCCTATTCTATAACTACAGTCATTTCCATGTTCATAGAATTTCCCAAGACATGTTTTGGAAGTGGATGACCCTCATGCTTCCAAGCCTGGTTCAAGCATAAATAGCCTTGCAAAGATAACTAGACATGCACAAATAGAAGAGGACATAATTAACAAATGTGATATTCTAAATATTAAGCCCCTGTGTTCATCAAAAACTTTTTATAATAGAGAGAAAAGAAAGCCTACAGACTGGGAAAAAGTATTCTGCAATGACATCTCATCAGCAATAGCATCTCAGACAAGGATCTCCTAATGAAAATTTCTACTATACCACAGGACCTCCACAAGGAAGACCAATAACCCAATAACAAAATATATAAAAGAGCTTTCACAAAAGAAGACATTCAGATGGCCAGTACCCACACAAAAGAAATGCTCAACATCAACAGCAATAAGAGAGATGCAAATCAAAACAATAATGAGATACCATCTCACTTCAGCAGCAATGGCCGTGTTTAACAGGACAGTAAGCAATTGGAGAGGATGTGGAGAGATGGGAACTCACATATTGGTGGCATTGTAAAATGGTATATTTATTCTGGAAGGCAGATTGTCATTTCCTCAAAAAGAATGACCAATTTTTTGTGTATTCAATTATTTATTCACCATAAATACCTTTTTATTTTTTTTTCCTTGATGACTGATGTCCTTTTATTTATAACAATGTGAGATGCACATTAAAGTTATCACAAAGCCTGCTGTGAAAGTAGTGGATGTTCTCCAGCTCTGTTATATAAAGTTTAGCAAAAAGTAAGGTGCAGGATTAGCTTGTGGTTAATTAACAGAATAATTTTATCTGTCCTCTCTGAACACACATTGCTATTCCCATCCCACCCCCTATGCACAGGGCAGCAACACCACGGGTCCCCCCAGTTCTCTCCATGGTGTGGAGCAGGGTCACCAGGATCCGACATCCAGATGCTCCCAGGGGATGGCCCAAGGCTATGGCCCCGCCTTGGATGTTGATCTTGTCTGGGCTTAATCCCAGTTCTTTAGCTATTGCAACAGAGAGGACTGCAAAGGCTTCGTTGATTTCAAATACATCAATATCCTGTAGTGACCAACCTGCTTTTGCAACAGCTTGCTTTATTGCTGGAATTGGTCCTGTTCCCATAATGGAAGGATCCACATCTGCTTGTGACCAGGACACAATCCGTGCTAAAGGGTTCAGCCCACGACGAAGAGCTTCCGACTTCTTCATCACGACCACAGCAGCAGCACCATCATTCATGCCTGAAGCATTAGCTGCAGTGACTATTCCCGTCCCATCGGAAAGAAAGTGAGGCTTCAGCTTGGACATGTCTTCTAAGTTGCTCCCATGTCGAGGAAACTCAACAGTCTTAACTTTAGTAACACCTTTTCGAGAAGGTACCGACACAGGTACAATCTCCTTGTCAAAATGGCCAGCTTTCTGAGCACGCTCTGTCCTGTTCTGGGACATGACCGCGACTTTATCTTGTTCCTCCCGACTGACTTTCCATTTTTTGGCTACGTTTTCAGCAGTAACACCCATGTGATAGTTGTGAAATGCATCTGTGAGCCCATCACAGAGTATGCTATCGAGGAGAGGAGTCTCGCCTTATTTTTAAAATTATAAAATACAAATGGCAGCTTTACACATGGACTTCACCAGATGGACTGCATAGGAACTAGACTGACTGTGGAAGATATCATTGGAGAAGCTCACAATCAGCAGTCAAAACCAAGTTAAGTGCTGACTATGGAACAGACCATCAATTACTCATGTGCAAATTCAAATTGAAGCTGGAGAAAATTAATACAAGTCCAGGAGAAACAAAATATGAACTTGAGTCTATCCCATCTGCATTTAAAAACTATATTAAAAAAAACTATATTAAGAATCTATTTGGGACATTGAACACCAGTGATCAAAGGCCAGATGAACTGTGGGATGACACTAAGGATATCATCCATGAAGCAAACAAAATATCAGTACAAAAAAAGAGGAGAAAGGAAAAAAAGATGTCAGAAGAGACCCTGGAAATTCCACTCAAGTACTGTGATCCATAATAAAGGAAAAAGATGGTAAAATAAAATAGCTGAACAAGAGATTCCAAAAGGCAGCTTGGGAAAACAAAGCAAATTACTGTAAAAGAATGTGCAGGACTTCTAATTGGAGACTAAAAAGGAAAGAACTTGCTCAGAATTTCTCAAGCTGAAAAAAAGACAAAACAAAGAAGTCAAGCCTCCCAACCCCCATATCAGTCCTGTTTTATAACAGTGGCATAAGAAAAGAGGGGATAAATTATGAACACTGCATTAAAACAGATGAGGGAAAAAAATGTCTAAAAGAAATATTGTTATTGTTAAATTGTTAAGTTCTGTCAAGTCTAAGTGACTCATAGTGACCCTATGAACAAAAGACCTGAATGCTGTATAACTTTCATCCTTCTCCAGGTTCATAGGGTTTCCAGAGGCAAGCTATTTCAGAAGTAGATGCCACTCCTACTTCCAAGCTTATTTGTGTCAGGAAACTCCACCAAACACTGTCCACTATTGGTAACTGTATCACATTTGACACATCACTGTCACAGTGTCCAGCTTCACAGCAACCACAAGTTACTTCTGTATGTCAAGTGGGCACATCAGAGCTATATGACCCAGAAGAATGTTTGACCAAAAACAATTAAAAACAGGCATAAGAGCCACAGATTGAAGTCACCAACCTTTGGCTTGGTAGAATACTTTCTGTCTACTAGGCCAACTGATCTCATTCTATGCTGTTGTTGTTGTTAAGTGCCATCAAGTCATAGATGACTCATAGCGACCCTATGAACAAAAGATCTGAACACTTGTATAACTTTTATCCTTTCTCCAGGTTGATATGATTAGGCATTATTTGCATGACAACAGTCCAAAAGAAGAAGTTTATAGCAAAGTGGACTGGGGAGGTAGAGGGAGTTTGAAAATTGTGCACAAATGAAATAATCTTTTTAAAAGAGAAAAGTAAACTGGGGGCGGGGGGAGGTAGGGAGGAAAATGTGCAACAATGAATAAATGGAAATCCAAGTTTTCTGTAAACTTTCAGTAAAATATCAATAAAAATAAATTTTTCTTTAAAAAAAGAAAATAAGTCAAAGCTCATGTTGCAATATTTAGGTATGATACAGGCAAAATTTTGAATGGTCCAAGAAAGATCAAAAGAAGTTGAGGGAATACATAGAATCATCGTAACAAAAAGTCTGGCAAACACTGAAATATTTTAGGAAATTCCATATGATTAAGAACCAAAGGTAAGGAAGGAAGAAATTCAAGCTGCACAGAAAAAAATTGGCAAAAATATCTAAAGCTCCAGGAATCAATTGATATGTTTCAAATGATAGATGCAGTCCTGGACATGCTCACCAGTCTATGATAGGAAATTTGAAGGAGAGCTGTCCAGCTGACTGAAAGAGATTCATATTTGTTCGCATTCCCAAGAAAGGTGATCCAAAAGAACGTGAAAATTATCAAACAAAAAACCATGCAAGCGAAATAGTGTTGAACATCATTCTAAATGGCTGGGAAAGTACAAAGAGAACATTACCTAACAGAGACATTCAAGGTTGATGTAAAAGAGGCCATGGCATCAGAAATATCATTGCAGATGTCAGATGAATCTTGGCTCAAAGTAAAGAATATTACAAGAATGCCTATTTATACTTTGCACACTATGCAAAGGCATTTGACTATATTGATCATAACAAATTATGGGTAACATTGAAAAGAATGGGAATCGTAAAACACTTAATTGTGGTCATGTAAAACCTGTACCTAGATCAAGAGGCTGGTGTTTGAATAAAACAATGGGACTGTTGCTGTTTTTGTTGTTATGTGCATTGAGATGCTTGCAACTCATAATGACCCTGTGTACAACAGCGCTAAACCCTGCTCTATCCTGTGCCAAATTTATTGCTTCTGACACACCTATCCTCAACATCCCAGTGACTCTATCAATCCATCTCATCAAGGGTCTTCCTCTCCTGAGCTGTCCCTCCACACTCCTAAGCATGATGTTTCTCTCCAAGGACTGGTCCCTTTTTGCAACATGCCCAAAGTACGTCAGATGAAGCTTTAGAATCCTTGCCACAAAGGACCAGACTGGTTTCACTCTTCCTAGGATGAATGTATTTCTTCTCTTGGCAGCCCATGGTATATTCAGTACTCTTCTCCAGCACCGCAGCTCAACGATATCAATTCTCCTATCATCCCTAGTTACTGTCAGCTTTCTGATGCATATCAAGTAATTGCACACCTTAATCTCCAGACTGACATTGTTTTTCTTCAATACTCTGAAGAGGTCCCCGATGGCAGACTTTCCAAATGCAGTTTGTCTTTTCATTTCCTGGCTGCTGGTATTAAGATGTTGATTGTGAAGCCAAGCCAACTGAAGAAAATACATGGTTTAAAATTAGAAAAGGTATGGGTCAAGGCTGTATCCTTTCTCCATACTTATTCAACTGTATGGTGAACAAATTATTCACGAAGCTGGACTCTGAAAAAAAAATGTGACATCAGGATTAGAGAAAGATTCATAAATAAACTTTGTTGTGAGGTTGACACAACCTTGCTTGCTTAAAGTGAAAAGGACTTGAAATATTTTTTGTGGGAGGTTAAATATTGCATCCTTCAACATGGATTGTACCTCAATGTCAAGAACAAAATAAATCCTCACCACCAGATCAATAGGCAGCACAATAGGTGGAGTAAAGATTAAAACTGTCAATAACTTTATATTACTTGGATTCACAATCAATACACTTAGTACCAGCACTCAGAGGAGGAAACATATTGTACTGTGAAAATCTGTAGTCAGGGACCTTTCCACATTACTGATGAGCAATGATGGATGCCAGTTTAAAGACTAAGGTGTGCCTGATTCAGACCATAGTCATGTCAGTCACTTCCTGCGCATCTGAGAGCTGTACAAAAGAAGCTGACAGAAGAACAATTGATGTCTTTATGCTGTGGTGTTGGAGAAGAGTACTGAATACCTCATGAAATGTCAAAAGAACAAATAAGAATTTCTTGGAAAATGTGAAGCCAGTGTACTCCTTGGAGGCAAAAATTATAAAAATTTGTCTCACTTATTTTGGGTATGTTGTTGGAGAATTTATACCTTGGAGAGGAACATCATACTTGGCAAGGTGGAGGGATAGAAAAATGAAAGGAAAACCCTCCACCAGGTGGATTGATACAGTGACTACAGCAATTAGCTTGAGTGTGTCAGGGATTGTGAGAATGACAGAGTAAAGGCAAGGGTTCAAATTTGTTGTTCACAGGGTCACTATGAGTCATACTTGACTTAATGGTACCCAACAACAACAAGGACACATTAATTAACTACAGGAATATGGATTGACCAGAAAGATTAAAAGCTGATATTAAAGTCACTTGTATCAATTTACCAGGTTTGATGTAAATAATTATTACAGAAATGATGGGCGATAATCCTCTTTTGATACCATTGTTATTGTTTTATATTGCCTCACAGTTCTGAAGTTTGGAAGTCTGAATTTAGATTATTGGCTGTCACTGCTCTAGGAAGAGCCTTTCTTCTCTCTCTGCTCTAGTTGTTGTTTTGTGCTTATCAAGTTGGAACTCCTTCAATGCTGACCCTTCAGTGGGTTTTCAGAGGAAGTAAATTATGCAGGAGGAGATCGACCATTCAGGAAGATATTGTTAATATAGAAGATAGTCCATCCAGAATGAGATTGCCTGACCTTCACAGAATGAGTAGCTCATGAATTCAAACTATGCACCTTGGGATCGTAGCTCAGCTTCTTACCAATAGGCCATCAGAGTTCCCGTCTTCTCTGTGTCGTTTCTGGTTTTGCTGGCTTGCAGCTGCCTCCTATCACCATAGTTACATGGCTATTTTCCCCTATGGTGCTACATAAATTTAGGGGAGCACAATTTAATCTGTCCATAATGACACCACAGTGATAGAGCAAAGAAGATCTTGACTGAACTAGCAGTAAATGTGACTTTTAAAATCTGAGACGGTAATTTAGACCAGAAGTCACAAAAGCAAATGCCTAGAAGGATCTGACAGGATGATAAATGGTGCATATGCCTAAACTGCATGTTAATTTGGTGAGAACATAGCCCGTCTCAGGGAACAACTATCAGTTAAGTCTCGATAATGTTTGGTATGAGGGAATGCAGGCACAGTATCCAGACTCAACTTCTTAAGATAATTTGAAAATCCAGTTATTTTGTGTAAAATATCTTCTTTCTAAAATATTGGCTCACTGTTTTGCATTGGCTTTAATTTGCACTGACCAAATAAAACATGTTTGCAGCCAGGCCTGTCCTAAACTACTAATTTGTGATCCCTGGCTTCTTGTATTGGTTATGAAAATTGAGTGGGATTGAGCTCTGGGCCAGGGCCAGTTGTACCAAAGAAACACTATCCAATAAACATAACGCAAGTCATAAATGTGAGCCACATGTGGAAGTCTCAATTTCCACAAAACAGGCAAAAGGATAGTAAGTAAAATTATTTGATATAATGTTAAATATGACATTTTATACATCTTATTTAACCTTGCATACCCAATGTATGTTATTAGATA